TACATTTTCTCACCATGAACCTATCATTTCCAGCCTATCTGAACTATTTAATAAATGGAAGCCATAACATGGGTTACGCTCCCCCTAAGCGGGCCCTCCGCATCCTGTCTCTGTCTTATCTCAAATACAAAATGCCAATGGTATGAATGTATCTATATATAACTTGGAAATGACGTACAATCAAATAAACCCGTAACCCACTCACTTGGTCAGGCTTCAGAATCGTCCAGTGGGCAGTGCACTCTACACTCCAAGTTCCCTTTTTTTCAAATTTACCGCAAATTTGATATTTTACCCATTGAGTGTTGATTAGTCACAATGAAACATTGTGACAGAAGTTGAGGTTACTAGTGTATTAAATAATCTAGGTCCTATTTAGGATTATATCTGAAAAATCCAAATCTGGCCAACGCCCACCCTAAACCTAAACCTGTTCTAATCCACCTGAAATGACTAACGAATGGAAGACTTTGACTACCCAGCCATGCAATAGTCTCATTCCGTGCCTTATGGCAACTTGATGATTCTATTGCGCTCATCTTCTGGCACCACCCAGGGGAGACTTGGTCCTGTACCCAATGCTTAACTTATCTCCATTCCACTCAGCTACTCGCAATTTCTTGTGATATAGTGGGCGGAATATTATTATATGAGACAATTCAATGCAGACGTCTTTCCAAATTTGGCAGATCGACAGGTAATCGGTGAGTTAGCACGATAGTTGCTATTCAACAACTCGACAACGTCCCATCGTCAACGCCTGCTATGAGAATTTCCCATAGCAGACGCCAACGAAATGACGTCATCGAGCTATCGATCAACTACCCTGGTTATCGCCTGGTACCTTATAGCACGATGCTAGGAGGCGAACCGGAAGAATCGATGAGCTACCTCCCCCCTGACCCTCCTTTATCATGCTATGTGGCAAAAACAGCACGAAATCTGTTTTCATAGCCGTGGTTAGTCGATGAAGAGAATGGATCAAAGCAGATAGGCCCTTTTCCAGCTTTGTATAGAATTATACAAATGCAAAAATAGTACAGGCTTCGAAGCTCTCAATTAATAACTGTGGAAGTGCATCTATAATACTAAGTTCAGAGCACGTAATAAGCTAATATGCGATAGAAGAAGAAGAAGAAAAAGAAGACTATCAGTCTAGTGCTGTTTGAGGCGCACCTCCGTGGTGGAAAGTCGCTCGGATTAACGTAAGTGGAAGTGGGTCGGCCACACACTACGAAGGGGTGGAAATCTGCAAGCAAGCGCAGGATTGGACCCAGAGATTCATGACGGTGGAGCCTCAACAAGAAAATAAAGGAAGTCGATAGGAATCTGACCTGGGCCAAGCCAAAGCGAGCAGCCACCCAGGATGGAAATCTTTCACGTTGGCCCTACACGGCGAATGAGAACGAACCAGATTTGACTTTAGTTTACTCATAAATCACATGAGGTGCAGAAAATCAGCGTAGAGTAAATTTGCCTTTTGTTTTTCCTCATATCCACAAGAAATCATGAGGGAAATTTACTCATCGCTGAGTTCCTGCACTTTTAGCAATTATGAGTAAACTAAACTCAAATTTGGGATGTTCTCATTGACCGTGTATGTACCTCTACACAGCAAAAAAATAATTTTGATATCACATCAAAGTGGATGCACTACAATCATGTCGAAAATTTCATGTAATTTTTATGACCACATAAATAAACAAATGCAGTAAAAGCAGCGTAATGTCAGTTCATGCATTGTATTAATGATAATTTTGTCCTTTTTAGCAAGTAATATTACACCATATTTTCGACATGATTGTAGTGCATCCACTTTGACGTGATATCAAAATTATTTTTTTGCTGTGTAGAGGTGTGCAGGATGCTTAAGTGAAAGTGAGTATCTGCACTTTTATGAACTTTTCTAACTAGTTCCAACCGCCTTGAGGTTCTCGAAGCTTCCCTGATGTGCCCGAAGTTTTAGAGCATTTTCCCAATTCATGAAACTTCTTCAAAATTCTCGGTATTTCCTCAGAACATTATCAAAGTTCTTGAAATGTTGGTTGAACGCCCTGGAGTTCTCTTGTCTTTCCTGAAGTTCTCACTACTCTTCTGATGATGTTGCTGGCCCAGTGAACATGTTGGTTCTTATAATTCCAGATATGCACAGTCATATACGAATCGAATAAGTTTTATAAGATGCACAGATATGGTACACAGCAAAAAAATAATTTTGATATCACGTCAAAGTGGATGCACTACAATCATGTCGAAAATATGGTGTAATATTACTTGCTAAAAAGGACAAAATTATCATTAATACAATGCATGAACTGACATTACGCTGCTTTTACTGCATTTGTTTATTTATGTGGTCATAAAAATTACATGAAATTTTCGACATGATTGTAGTGCATCCACTTTGATGTGATATCAAAATTATTTTTTTGCTGTGTATACCAAAGTGGAGTCCCAGTATTGTCAGAAAAATTACGGAAACATTAAGGGTAGTTCCATAGATTTCCGGGAAATTTCGAGAATTTGAGTGACAATTCAAATACGCAAGCACTTAGGGAGGAAGGAGTATTGGTAACGGAAGGGGATCCCAGAAAAATCTTACGTAACCACACAGCTAAAAAAAAGTTGTGTAAATTTTCGTTACTATGATGCACATAAATGGAGCGTCATAAATCATACAAATTTACATTATAAATTGTGTAAATTTATGAGACATGTCAATATTTCATATATTGTATGCAACTTTCCACTTTTATTTGCAACATTTCTTGCAAGCTGCTAGTTTACGTGAAAAGGAAGTTTACATGCATGAATGTTTGCATGCATGGATGTTTACACCACCAGTAAAATTAAGATTTTTTTATTATTATCAAGTAATAAAGGTTGAAAACGAAAAAAATCCGGACTCATTGAAAACGCTGCCATTAAGGCATATTTTGAGTATTTTTTTTTTAATTTCACTGAATCAAGCTAAGAGTGTTTCGAATCACAGTAGTCATTGGTTGTCAGGATAAGTTTATTTGTTTACATCATGGCTTCATCGGAGTTGAAGACATCATGTTAAGAAGACTGGCAACTTTGCCAGAATCCAAGCGACAGATACAATAACGCTGCGCTTGAGTGAAGGTGGAAGCAACGCATAGAAAAATGAGCAAATACACAAATCTTTCTTCTGAGGATATGATCTTTGCTATCAAATTCGTCCGAATCATTTACCTTTGAGCGGCAGATGACGCGATTGTCCCTGTCTCATAGCATTCGTATGAGAAAATGGAAGAGTTGCCAGTCTTCTTGATTTGTTGTCTTCGCCGGAGTTCCTTGTCTGGCAAGCAATCTGCAGTTGTTGGCTGAAAAGCGAAACTTTCATTATTTCTGGTACCATGAACCAGCAAATTTACCTGGAGGAGTGCTTACGGAAGAGACTACTGCCTTCGTAAGCTGCCACTACTCAAATTCCACCAAACAGTGGTACAGTGAAAATGGTGTCACAGTGGTTCCCAAGGAGATGAATGCGGCCAATACTCCGGAACTAAGGCCAATTGTGAAGCACATACTGAAGAAAAAGGGTGGAATTGCAATTGACCTGAAGGATTTCAAGCAGAAATGGAATTTGGCAGACAAACAAGTGGGAACAGGGCTCGTGCACAAGGTGATGGGGCCGTGTACGAAGAAAAGTTCGAGAAATGGCCTATGGTAAGAAGAAAGACTGAAACAATGGTCTTACAATAAGCATAATACCTACTCAGCAATATATTAGTAAAACGCATTTTTAAGCCCCAACAAGATTTTTGTGTCTGGATTTTTTCGTGTTTAACCTTTATACATAACTTTGTAATATTTGATGTAGGAGAAATTGTAGTCTAGAGGGGGGTTTCGCAACCAAAAAGAACACTGCGTAATGCTTCATGGATTTAATCTATAAAACGGATAATGTAATCAATTTCATTGATTTCTCACGCGTAGAGGTCATTTGGAAATATTACCGATATGATCTGCTGTTCAAAACTCCGGTAAAATTCTAACGACTTCGGTGATCTGAATTAAGTATGTAGAGTTAAGATGGTTCAGATGTCAATATCTGGGTCATCACTTCTGTATGTCACCAAAGAGATAATTGATTGGTACGAGTCTTTGAAGGTTGTAAATAGCATGACCTAACAATTGAAAGTGGCTGCTTGCAAGATATGTATGATGAATAAGACATACTCTGTAAGCGAAGGACTCAAAGTATACCACACGCGATATCGATTCAAATTCATTGAACTTGCAAAGAACTACCCGAAATTTTTCAGTTCAAACGGCAACTAGGTTCGAAAATCTCCACCAATCTGCGGGAAAACTTCATGCCGACAGTTGGCCTCTTCACTATCACCTTCAATGCTTCCTGCTTTCTTCCCTCTCTTCTGCTGCTAGCTGCGCCGAAAACCGAAAGCCTGCTCTCGAGTAAAAGCACAAAAAGTAATACCAACCAACGGCACGCGTTTAGGTCATTGATTGAATGATAAATATTGGTTATGTGCAGCAGTGACTGCCTCCGTCGTCCGTCGGTTGGAGAGGAAAAGGTTTTTGCTGCAAGTAAGGAGCAGCGGCGGAGAAAAACAACCGTTTCAACCACCATCATTATTCGCATCTGACCGCGAACAATCGTCTCGATGAAATGGTTTTTTTTTTCCTTACGCAGCCACGGGGGTTGGCCACACACTAGTTTTTGGTACAAAGCTTTTGAAATCAGGTAGTCAGTAGTCAGGTGGGTTTTCTCTAGTGCTTTGCGAAACACAACCACCACGACATGATGGCTATTGTCATTGATGCGAACTCGGTGCAGTATGATTAAGTACGTGAGAGTTGAACGAACCTGGAAGCTATTGATTGGCTGTATCTCGAATCGAATTGGCAGTGCACTAACTGTGTGCAGCTTGACTATTGTTTATCGATAATGAGGCGCATGATTGAACGAGCTGTAATTAATTATGGTTTCTTCCGATTAATTTCATTTGCAGAACCAAAACGCCGGCACACTGGACATCAGCCCCATTGGTCTGCGGATAAAGAACTCGAATGGGCGGGAACCATTCCTTACGCCCTTTCAGAACATCGCTGTTTGGTCCGCCGTGAAATTCGTCGTGTCACCCTCCGAGGGTGGAGCTGCGTTCCTTCCACTGATCACCGATCCCGAGAACATTGACAAACAAACGCTTTTCCGACCTCTCAGGTAATTTACTCTTGATCATTGCGTAGTGCCTTTGTAATCGATCTTTTAAAACCCAGCAGTGCTGCGGATAAGCGTCGACTGTCATCCGGGCTCCACTCGCCACTGTTTGCAATCGTGATGCGCTCCAGCACGGTACCAAGGCAGCTGGAATGCCATGGGTTCGTCTGCCAAACTCCCGAGGATGCTATCGTCATCGCTGCCACACTGTATCAGAGCCTGATGGCTCACATGGGCAGTGGAGAGGTTGGTTCCCGTTTATTTTTTTGATTCCCATGCATGATTTTAAAATTCTTCCCATTATAGAACCAACGACCCCGAAGACCCAAGAACCGCAACGGAGTCAGCTGCATGAGCATTGCAAGCAGTGCTGCCACGACCAACATCCATCTACAACCGGGCTCAACGAAGCTATCTTCCCGAAGGTCCAGCGCCAGCCAGCGAAGTCTGCTACCACCGCCGCCGAGACCTCCGCGGAAAACGAAACGCACAGCCACAAGTTCGCTGAGCGGGGAAAGTGACACCATGACCGGAGCCAACGAAGAATCATCGACAGAAGAACGCAAAAAGCGATCACCGAAGGGCAAACGACCACCTCCGCTACCGGCTAATCCACCACGGGCAGGTATGTGATCTCTTTTCCCCCAAAATCCGAACTCTCTGTCTCTGAACTGACCACTTTTCCCGTCGCGCAGTATCCAATCGGCCTTCACTGGATGCGATCTACACCGACCACAGTCACTCGAACGATGACAACCAGTCCCTATCGAAGGGTGGAGAGGGCAACTATCCAGCCCTTTCAGAAAACTCGGCCGGTGACATCCTGACCCGGGTGGCCATCCCCCGATCCGGCAGTTTCCTGAACACGGCCGGCCTAACACGGTACAAATCACGAGCGACGCGACGGCACACCGGCAAGGTCGGCGGAGGAGGTGGCTCGCCGCTAGGCTTCAGCGAACTGTTCAACGAATTTCGACTGCAGGAGGACCTGCACTCCATGGACGATATTCTCAATGCCATAATCAACTCGGACGGAATGTCGTTCAACGATTTGAAACCGATCTACAAGGAGTTTCTGCTGAAGCTGGCCGTCACGTTGACCAAGGACGAGCTGTACCAGCGCTCGAAGAGCATCATGCGCCGGCAGAAGAAGAAAAAGTTGAAGCGGAAGAACAGCAACGTGCAGGTAGGTCCGCTAGGAAATGAAATTTTGTATTTCAATCAATTGAACTGGTATTTTTCGTTTGCATAAACTTGCAACGATCCAACTGTCCATGAGCAGATCCATGCCAAATGACGAATCAGAAAAAACTACACCTTCTCCGATTTGGACGAAACTTTGTAAAATTATTTGTTATGGGCAATGATTCTAATTTTTTTTTTAAATTCGGCCATTTTGGATGTTGTAAAATTTTTAAAATGGCGTCTTGGGAAATTTTCAAAAAAACACATTGCGCGAAAATGGTACTTCTGATTGGAATGACGACTGGGACAAATTTGTAGAGAGAAATAATTTTTTTTCTGTGGAAGACATTCATTTTTTTTATTTTTAGTAGAAACTCTTCTCAAGTGTCCATTTCAATAATTTGCATTTTTTGTAAACTTTTTTTTTAAATTAACATTTTGCAGATATTAGGGTTTTTTTATAATTTATTTTTGATATTTTTACTTAGAATAAATTTAAGAAAAAAAATTGTTTATTTTTTCCAGAGAGACATTTTTTTCTTAACAACTTTGTCACAGTTTTCATTTCGATCAGAAAAGCCGTTTCCGCTCTAGTTTATATTTTTTTTTTTATATTTCAAGAACGCCATTTTTTTAAAATTTTGGGCGAATTTTAGCAAAAATGTTAGGGAAAGTTTCATAGAAATCGGAGAAGGTCAATTAAAAAATTCAATTTTGGTTTTCGCTATTTTGCCTGAAACTGCTCTCATGGTAAATTACAAGTCTGATGTAGTTCATGGAATATACCGTAGGGCACGTAGTTTCTAAACTGAGTTTGACAACATAGAAATGGACACTCCATATTTTAGATTCAATGATATTTAAGTGGCAACCTAAATAATCTTTATCGGAAATTGATTTTTGTTTAAATGGTTTCAAAGACAACATCCAATATATGCATATGACCTAAAATATGTAAGAGGTACCCCGCATAATCCTTAGCCATACCTGAAGGAACTACAGCATCTTATTTGACGATTGGCAACCAAATCAGTACGATTCCCCAGATCGTACAACCAATTATAGACTTGCTCTACCATATAGGGGAAATGGCTCTAATGTTGGCCTATGGATCTAAGGTTGGGCCCATTGCTAAAAATCTGCTATTTATCAATTGTTTCTAGATGAATTGTGTGTGTAACAATTTTGGTTTTATGAGGGTTCTGTAGAATATGATTTAAACTTGTAGAATGCTTTAAAACCTTGATAAGACTTGCAATGTTGTTTGGGATGTAATACATTTACTTTCAGCAAAATGGCTTGGCTAGTAGTAAGATGATAAAAAGGAAGCTACCGGTTTATTACTTCTCTTATCGTTTAACTTTTTTATTGTTATATAATTTATAAATATAGGGGAAATGGATGTTATGTCGGCATTTACCTAATTTGGGCCCAAATATAAATTCAGCAATCGACTAAATTTTTAATAGCGACCAAAAATATCCATCAGTACCGTCCCAATGACGCGTTCATCTAGATAAAATTGATAAATAACGGATTTTTAGCGATGGGCCCAATCTTAGATCCATAGGCCAACATTAGAGCCATTTCCCCTATGTATTAAGTTGTGAAGCAATCTTGAAGACAACTTTATTGTGGTGTAAATTATTAATGTCTTTCTAAATAATAATGCTTATCACATATAATCAATCCAACCGTATTCTTCCTTTTACCCCTTTGACTTAGATATTACATTTGTCCCCTTTGTTGCAGATAAAAGGTTATGAATGCATCAGTATTAAAAAAAAATGGTGAGAGGCTTATAAAGAATACCAAACACCATCTGTTAGAATCCAACCTTAAAATTTTGGTTTAACTTCAGTGTATTACGGTATGACCCATATTCAACTAAACTTGATAATGGATATAATTCTATAAACTTGATTATGGATATACCACGGAACAACTGCAGAACTTCAGTTCTGGTCATGCTTCTCAAAGGTACATTTTAGCACCTCATCCTTATTATGCAACCACAGTAGGCTCCTGGCCGCGATGCTGCATTTCAATATCCCGCCGACGTTTACAGCGTTCCGGCCACAACTTGAACATCCACTGGTCGGTATTTTCCGTCTGACCCAGGGCTTTCTTGCTGAACTCGTGATGTTCCGGATGGTTCAGATTCTCCTTAGCTCTGGTTTCATCGTAGTTAGTTAGTTAGTTTTTTTTTTATTATTGAGGCTTTCAGCCTGAGGCTGGTTCGCCTCCGCTATGGTTTCATCGTACTTTTTTCACACCGATGCCATTCTTTATATGTATACTGAAACCTCCGTTTACGAAGTCTTTTTTATGTACACAGTTCGAAAAAGTAGTGTAAATTTCTGTTCAATATGATGCACATATATGGAGCGTTACATATCATATAAGTTTACATTATATATCATGTAAAGTTCTGAGACATTTCATGCAATGTAGCAAATATTGTATACAAAAGCCCATTGTTTTAAACAACATTGTTTACAAGTTGCTCGGTTGCGTGAAATTAAATACAAGTCTACGTGAATGAATGTTTACATCACAATTAAAATTCAGAATTTTTATCTGTGTAGTATTCAGTTTACGTCCCTTTTTTTTACGAAGCAAATTCCAAATAACAATTTTTTTTTGCGATTCTGGAAAACTGGGAAACACTGTGAAATAACCCACAATATGGGTATTTTTGGAATCAGGATTACGTGCATGTCGTTTCCATTTTACTGTAAAGGGTCATCCACATATTATGTAGGGGTGTTAGAGTGATTATCAATCCTTCTCCCCCATTTAAGTCTTAAGAAGATTCCGACATTTTTTAAATTTCTGAACATTTCCATACCCATTTAAATATATGTAACGTGAAAAATTTGTTGCACTGGATATCCCCTACGTCACGCACACAGCAAAAAATTAATTTTAAATTTACATCCAAACGGCTGCACTTCAATCATGTCGAAAATCTCATATAATTTTTATGGCCACAAAAATGAACAAATGCAGTAAATGCAGCGTATTGTTAGTTGATGCTCTGTATTAATGACAATTTTGTCCTTTTGGCAAGTAATATTTCCTGAAGGGAACCCCCTAAACCCCAAGCTGCTGGTCTTGACCAACGGCAGCTTCCAGGGTTGGCACTCAAGACTTTTGTAGGTTCCGGGTCTCAGGGTGTATAGGCGTGGGAGACTTTTCGGACACGGGAAAACCTAACCAACACTATGTAAACGGTTAAATACCTGTTTATTAGATTGGACGGCACTTTGCGGCCGGTGGGCGGCGATGGCGATAGTTCAGAGGAGGCGCTGGTCCAGAGGACGCCGGTACAATGCGGGCGGTGGGCGCCGATGGCAACGGTGCAGATGAGACTTTGGGGTTGACGGTGATCCAGAGGACGCCGTCCCTGCTGGTAGTGGCTTCGGAAGTGGAGATGAACGTGATGGCGGCCACTACATGGGCCGAGCCAATGGCCACGACCAGAGCGATCTCTTGATGCCACAGAATTTGATTTTAGAAAAGGGGTGCAACTAAACAAGTCCATCGTTACGAGCACGTAGTGGTTCCCCGATTTAGATCTCGGTAAAGGGGCGATGTAATCTAGAGCGATAATCTGCCATGGACGGGATGGAATGCGCATATTGCCCATCGGAGGTGTCGTCGACGAGTTCGGAGGTTTTATCTGAGCGCAAACCGAGCATTTTCGCACGTATGTCCGAATTTGACCAACCATTTTTGCCAATAGTAGTGTCGACGTACCTTTTCCACGGTTTTCTCTGCTCCTATGTGCATGAATTCATCGTGGCAGGATTTGAGGATCTCATGCCGTGAATCGGGACTGGGAATTATTTTCCAGTCGTACCGATGGTCCGTCAGATCATTGTTGAACACAAATTTCATCAGCTGTACCTGACTGACGCGAAAGTCGGGATAGTCGTCGGGTTGGTTTTCGACGGAAAGCTTCAGGTTGTTGTACCAGGAAGATGGAGACTGGGTATAGATTGACATCACACTCCGTGAAAGCGCGTCGGGGACAACGTTGTCCTTGCCCCGACGATGCACAATCGTCATATCGTACATTTGAAGCGATAGGCTCCAACGGCTAAGTCGCGAGGAGGTTTTCCACTTTGTTCGCATGATGTAGGTTAGAGCGGATGAATCCGTGACCAGTAAAAAATGGCTTCCCTCAACATACCCACAAAAATGCTCTATGGAAAGGAGAGCGGCAAGGCCCTCTTTTTCCGTAGCATGATATACGCTTTCCTGAGTGGTGAGTTTTTTCGAAAAATACTCTATTACCCGTCCCAGGTCATCTATTTTCTGCGCAAGCACTCCGCCGACGGCGTGATCGCTCGCATCGGCGTGGATAATAAATTCCCGATCGAAATCAGGGCTGGATAAAATGGGTGCCGTTATTAACTTCTCCTTAATTGCCAGGAAAGCATCCTCCGCCTCAGGATTCCATCTCACCGTCTTCGTCTGACTTTTGATAAGCACTGAGAGGGCCGCAGTCGTCTTGCTATATTCGCTGATGAAACGCCGGTAATAGTTCGACATCCCCATAAAGCGACAGAGTTTTTTAAGCGTCGTGGGACGTTCATATTCCACAATGGGCGCTATGTTCTCAGGGTTAATTCTCAAACCCTGAGAAGATGAAATATAGCCCAAAAATGGGATTTCATCGCCGGAAAAATGGGATTTCTCCAGCTTAATAGAGAGATTCGCCGTTCAGAGGCGTCTCGCAACCTCTTAAAGTCTCCGATACTATGACGATGTCGTCTAAGTATACGAAGACAAACGGTTCCAGTGCACCATGACCTAACACTCGGTTCATCAATCGGGACAGTGTCGTCGGACTGTTGACCAAACCGAATGGAAGGTGGGTGAACTGGAACATCTCCTTCCCTTGGACACTGAACGAGCAATATCTTCGGGATCCCCGAGCCAGAGGGATCGGCAGAAAGGCCTCTGTAAGGTCGATGGTCGACAAAAAGTTCG